ACAGAAGACAGAGAACTCAGGAAAATAAAGAAATCAGCCGAAGAGCCAGAAACGAATATGCACAGATAAGAAGGGAGGCTCAGAACAATATGAAAATGACATAGCATCAAAAATAAAGACTGACCCGAAGCTGTTGTACAGCCACATCAGGAGGAAAACAACAGTCAAGGACCAGGTAATCAGACTGAGGGAAAGGGGGATGGGGAATTCACAAGAAACGACCGAGAGGTATGTTTAGGAGCTCAACACAAGATTTAAAGAGGTATTTACAGTGGAAACCAGTAGGACTCCAAGAAATCAGAACAGGGGGGCACACCAGCAAGTGCTGGATGAGGTACATATAATCAAGGAGGAGGTGAAGAAGCTGCTATGCGAACTTGACACCTCAAAGGCGGTGGGACCAGACAACATCTCTCCATGGGTCCTTAAAGAGGGAGCAGAGATATTGTGTGAGCCATTAACAAAGATCTTCAACACATCAGTAAGGATTCGTTTAAGACTCTGTACACCATCTACGTCAGGCCCATACTGGAGTATGCAGCACCAGTTTGGAATCCACACCTAGTCAAGCACGTCAAGAAATTAGAGAAAGTGCAAAGGTTTGCAACAAGACTAGTCCCAGAGCTACGGGGATTGTCCTATGAAGAAAGGTTGAGGGAAATCGGCCTGACGACACTGGAGGCCAGGAAGGTCAGGGGAGACATGATAACGACATATAAAATACTGCGCGGAATAGACGAGGTGGACAAAGACGGGATGTTCCAGAGATGGGACACAGACACAAGAGGTCACAATTGGAAGTTGAAGACTCAGATGAATCAAAGGGATGTTAGGAAGTATTTCTTCAGTCATAGAGTAGTCAGGCCATGGAATAGCCTAGAAAGTGATGTGGTGGAGGCAGGAACCATACATAGTTTTAAGGCGAGGTATGATAGAGCTCATGGGGCAGGGAGAGAGAGGACCTAGTAGCAATCAGCGAAGAGGCGGGGCCAGGAGCTGTGACTCGACCCCTGCAACCACAAATAGGTGAGCACACACACACACACACACACACACACACACACACACACACCAGGAGCTCGGACTCGACCCCCGCAACCTCAACTAGGTGAGTACACACACAGACACACACACATTTTGAAGACACAGATGAATCACAGGGATGTTAGGAAGTATTTCTTCAGCCACAGAGTAGTCAGGAAGTGGAATAGTTTGGGAAGCGATGTAGTGGATTCAGGATACATACATAGCTTTAAGCAGAGATATGATAAAGCTCACGGTTCAGGGAGAGTGACCTAGTAGCGACCAGTGAAAACGCGGGGCCAGGAGCTAGGACTCGACCCCTGCAACCACAAATAAGTGAGTACAAATAGGTGAGTACACACACACACACATACACACACATGACACAGAAACAAGGGGGTCACAACTCGAAGCTGAAGAGTCAGACGAGTCAAAGGGATGTTAGGAAGTACTTCTTCAGTCATAGAGTTGTCAGGAAGTGGAATAGTCTAGCAAGTGATGTAGTGGAGGCAGGAACCATACATAGCTTTAAGACGAGGTGTGACAAAGCTCAGGGAGCAGAGAGAGAGAGAGAGAGAGAGAGAGAGAGAGAGAGAGAGAGAGAGAGAGAGAGAGAGAGAGAGAGAGAGAGAGAGGACCTAGCATCGATCAGTGAAGAGGCGGGGCCAGGAGCTGAGTCTCGACCCCTGCAACCACAATTAGGTGAGTACACACAGAGGAGACAGGAGAAGCAAGAGACTACATAATAGGAACACTTCAGTCTGGAGGTCCCAAGGTGGTAATTGCAGTGATGTATAACCCACCACAGAACAGCAGGAGGCCAAGCAAAGAGTATGATGAGAGTAATAGAGCAATGGTTGACAGACTGACAGAAGTGGTCAGAAAGGCTCATGCGAGCAGGGCAATGCTGCTGATCATGGGTGACTTCAACCACAAGGAAATTGACTAGGAAAACCTGGAGCCACATGGGGGCCCGGAAACGTGGAGGACTAAGATGATGGAGGTGGTAATGGAAAACCTCATGCACCAACACGTAAAGAACACTACCAGAGAGAGAGGAGAAGATGAACCAGCGAGACTGGACCTAATATTCACCTTGGGTAGTGCATATATTGAGGACATCACATATGAAAGGCCCCTCGGGGCCAGAGTAATTATGTGGTTCTGAGCTTCGAATACATAGTAGAGGTGTAAGTGGAGAGGGAAACAGGAAGGGCAGGACGAATGAAGCCAAACTACAAGAGAGGGGATTACACAAGCATAAAGAATTTCCTGCATGGGGTTCAGTGGGACTGAGAACTGGCAGGGAAGTCAGTAAATGAGATGATGGAATATATGACAACAATATGCAAGGAAGCTGAGGAGAGGTTTGTACCCAAGGGTAACAGAAATAACGAGAAGGCCACGATGAGCCCGTGGTTTACACAAAGGTGTAGAGAGGCCAAAACCAAGTGCGCTAGACAATAGAAGGCATAGGACCCAGGAGAATAAGGAAAGAAGTAGAAGTCATAGAGCCAGAAATAAATATGCACAGGTAAGAAGAGAGGCCCAAGGGTAATACGAAAATGACATAGCAGCGAAAATTGAATCTGACCCGAAGCTGTTATACAGCCACATCAGGAGGAAAACGACAATCAAGGACCAAGTAATCAGGCTGAGGAAGGAAGGAGGGGAGATCACCAGAAACGACCATGAGGTATATGAGGAGCTCAACATGAGAATCAAAGAAGTGTTCACATAGGAGACAGAAGGGACTCCAGAAAGACGGAGAGGTGAGGTACACCACCAAGTGTTGGACACAATGCATACAACCGAGGAAGAAGTGAAGGGGCTGCTAAACGAGTTAGATACCTCAAAGGCGATGGGGCTGGATAACATCTCTCCATGGGTCCTGAGAGAGGGAGCAGAGGTGCTATGTGTACCATTAACAACAATCTTCAACACATCTATGGAAACAGGGCGACTACCTGAGGTATGGAAGATAGCAAATGTAGTCCTAATTTTTAAAAAAGGAGACAAACACGAAGCATTAAACTACAGATCGGTGTCACTGACATGTATAGTATGCAAATTCCAGAAGATCATCAGGAGAAGAGTGATGGAGCACCTAGAAAGGAAGGAGCTTATCAGCGGCAGCCAGCACTGTTTCAAGGATGGAAAATCCTATGTCACAAACCTACTGGAGCTTTATGACTGGTGACAGCAGTAAGAAGGGAGAGAGAGGGGTGGGTTGATTGCATTTTCATGGACTGTAAGGTGTTTGACACAGTTCCACACAAGAGATTAGTGCAAAAGCTGGAGGACCATTCAGGGATTACAGGAAGGCACTGTAATGGATCAGGGAATACCTGTCGGGAAGACAACAGCGAATCATGGTACGTGGCGAGGCGTCAGAGTGGGTGCATGTAACGAGAAGGGTTCCATAGGGGTCAATCCTAGGACCGGTGCTGTTTCTGGTATTTATGAACTACGTGAGGGAAGGAATAGACTCTGAAGTGTCCCTGTTTGCAGATGATGTAAGGTTGATGAGAAGAATTCAGTTGGACAGGTATCAGGGAGAACTACAAAGGGATCTTGACAGGCTGCAGGCATGATCCAGCAATTGGCTCCTGGAGTTCAACCCCACCAAGTGCAAAGTTATGAAGATTGGGAAAAACAAAGAAGGCCACAAACGGAGTAAAACCTAGGGGGCCAGAGGCTACAAACCTCACTCAAGGAAAGGGATCTTGGGGTGAGTATAACACCGAGCACATCTCCTGAGGCGCACATCACCCAAATAACTGCTGCAGCATATGGGCGCCTAGCAAACCTAAGAACAGCATTTCGACATCTTAATAAGGAATCGTTCAGGACCCTGTACACTGCGTACGTTAGGCCTATACTGGAATATGCAGCACCAGTTTGGAACCCAAACACGTACGGAAACTAGAGAAAGTGCAAAGGTTTGCAACTAGACTGGTCTCGGAGTTAAGGGGTATGTCCTACGAGGAGAGGTTAGGAGGAATCGACCTGACGACTCTGGAGGATAGGAGAGATAGGAGGATATGATAACAACATACAAAATACTGAGAGGAATCGACAAAGTGGACAGAGACAGGATGTTCCATATTTGGGCCACAGCAACAAGGGGGTCACAGTTGGAAGTTGAAGACTCAGATGAATCACAGGGATGTTAGGAAGTATTTCTTCAGCCACAGAGTTGGCAGAAAGTGGAACAGTCTGGGAAGTGCTGTAGTGGAGGCAGGATCCATACATAGCTTTAAGAAGAGGTATGATAAAGCTCATGGAGCGGTAAAAGTGACCTAGTAGCGGCCAGCGAAGACGCGGGGCCAGGAGCTGTGACTTGACCCCTGCAACCACAAGTAGGTGAGTACACACACACAGTATAAGTCGCTAGGGGTGACTCTTTTTTTGTAAGTATAAAGTCACACTAATAAAGGTCTCTTTTTTGCTCTCTGTGTTTTACTAATAAACAGTTTATTCTTCACGTTCACGTAGTTTCCATAACAGTTATTCTTCACGTTCACGTAGTTTCCATAACAGTTATTCTTCACGTTCACGTAGTTTCCATAACAGTTATTCTTCACGTTCACGTAGTTTCCATAAACAGTTATTCTTCACGTTCACGTAGTTTCAATAACAGTTATTCTTCACGTTCACGTAGTTTCCATAACAGTTATTCTTCACGTTCACGTAGTTTCCATAACAGTTATTCTTCACGTTCACGTAGTTTCAATAACAGTTATTCTTCACGTTCACGTAGTTTCCATAACAGTTATTCTTCACGTTCACGTAGTTTCAATAACAGTTATTCTTCACGTTCACGTAGTTTCCATAACAGTTATTCTTCACGTTCACGTAGTTTCCATAACAGTTCATATGAGGACTGATATGTATCACAGCGGTAAACAACCACTTCACAAATATCATAAACTTATCTAATCATTATTTTCAGTATATTTTAATTATATTTACAGAGAAGCAATTACTGCAATCTGCAACAGTCGCCACAACAACTGGTCAATGGTCTGTACCTGTTGCTGGCACTAACAGAGGCTCGAGGATATGCAATGCTGGAGTTTGCATGGATGATGCTGCGTGTGTACAATGAAGGTAACTTGTACTCAACATTAAACACCTTAGTACTCTCATAACTTTATCTTAACTAACTTGGTATGAAGGGAAATATACATCACAGTAAACATATACATATACTGAATGTTTTGTTTTGTTTTTTGTAAAGAAGACTTCATTATGTCGTTATTTGCTTGTCAGTAGAACCTGCATAATATTATTCCTAATATATTTGTTATACTTGCAGGAAACTTCACAGTGGAGCAGGAAGTATCCAAGAAGTTATATCTACAATACTCAGAAGATATAATGCGGGAGGCCAGGTCAGTGTTGGTGCAGGAGTCACGGGAGTTTATGAGATGTGACCCACGGACACACGTACAGGGAGAAACTTACGTACAAATAACTGAACTCTTGCAGGTATGTACAACTTGTTAAGATTTTAATGACACACAAGAATCAAGGGGAATTATTTTCACATATTTAAGAAATTGAAAAAAAATTAATGAAAAATTAGAAAGAGAAAAAGAGAGAGAAAAATATAAACAATATATATATATATCTATATCTTGTCATGTAGGGGGTTAATGATTAGGGGAATACCGGGGGTAGAGGGAGTCAGTAGGTAGGTGACAGGCGAGGCAGTAGGAGGATGAGTGCGGAGATTGGTAGGTAATGTGAGGTCACTGGTGACTACAACTTCACCTCTCATTACTCACCACACTAGTCACCCTCTCACTATTTGAAATAAAATAATGAATAAAAGAGCAAATGACGGGGAAAGTGAATATTACTATTCTACTCAAACACAGTTTATTATTAAGTCTTTGTACAATAATATATTTGGGAATAGGAGTACATCATTGGGGTGGTACATATAAGCAGTGAGACAGGGAATACAATAAACTTGGCGAAAATGAATGTAACTTACAATATAGTTCAGAGGACAGTTCACTACAGGAACTAAGCCACAGGTCCCAAGACCTACACAGCACAAGTACTGCTCCAAGCCAGTACTCTGCCCAGTGCCTCCAACAGTCTCCTCCAGAGACTTCAGCAGCCTTCTCCCGAGCCCTGCACCCCAGCAGCAGCTCCGCTCGAAGTCTCTCTGCTCAGAGCTCTGCACCCAGGGCAGAGCTCTATCCGAATCTCCCCTGCTCAGCTATTCCTTGGGCTTATATGGTGGTCCAAGCACACCCCACAACCACGTGTACGACCTGACGCCTGGATTTGACGCCAGTGACGAACAAAGGTGCTGAAACTTAAGCCGAAAAGGCGTGTCTCTGACAGACATTTGCCAAGGCAAGGTGACCGTATAATTGGTTAAATTAGGTCTCCCCAGAGACCTCACAAGCCCAGCTGAACTACATCACAATATTATAATATATATATATATATATATATATATATATAATATATATATATATATATATATATATATATATATATATATATATATATATATATATATATATCAATATTTCCTTTGGTTTATATAAATTAGATCCATTTATAATTAATAGAATTTGGGAGAATTTAATAATACACTGGACAAATAATAATTTTTAAATTTTCTTGGGTAGAATAGTTTGTGGGTGAGTTGTGCAAAGGACCTATCCAAGTTGGGGTCGGCGCGCGTCAGGTGTTTAAACCGTTGTGGGATCTGATAGTGAGGTGCTGGCCAGACCCCTTATATAGCTTCCTTGGATGCTTTACTTTCATAGTTCCTTGATAGTGTGAGCTTGGAATTTCTCTATTCTTTCAGAGTGGTTGTTTTGCATATATATAATATATATATATTATATATATATATATATATATATATATATATATATATATATATATATATATATATATATATATATCTGATGATAACACTTATCTGTGTTATCTCTCTGATGATAACATTTATGTATGTTATCTCTCCGATAACATTTATCTATTCTGTCTCATAATTTCTTTGATCAGAGAATATTTTGTCTTTTTCTCACAGTGTTAATGTTGTTAAGAATACCTTGCAAGGCGATACCAATAATTCGCTATTTTCCCTTCTAAGGTTTTCGTTCATAACTGGATAACGGCTCATCTGGCCGGTTACAATCTTTTAACAATAGAGTACCATTCCTCTAAACAGAGTTCTACTGCGTCGGTGTAATATTCACTGCTGTGTTGTCAACTTCACTGTTGTGTTGTCAACACTTCACCGCTGTGTTGTCAACACTTCACTGCTTTGATACCAACTTCACAGCTTTGATACCGACTTCACTGCTTTGATATCAACTTCACTGCTTTGATATCAACTTCACAGCTTTGATACCAACTTCACTGCTTTGATATCAACTTCACTGCTTTGATATCAACTTTACAAGTAGGAGTAATAATTGTGGCTCCGGGTGAAAGAAGGCCGGGGAAAAGAGTGGACAATAAATATTCTTAAAATATTTTATTATTGAAAATTTAACAAAATAATATGTACCTGCTGTAATACTTTTTCATGATATATATATATTTTTTTTCAGGGTTATATTGAGAATGAAGTAGACATGAATTCAGGAGGATCATGTTCACAAAACTGTGGCTATTATCAACACGCGAAGGCTGAGGGTTGCTACATGCCACAGTCACAGTACTGTGGTAAACACCGTCGCTGTCAGGGTACCATACACGACTGTCAGTTTTATGATGCGGATGCTTGGGTGTGCTTGTCTAGAAATCCTTACAGACGGTACGACTTCATTCAGTATGAGAGTAAACTGAGACTTGGACCCAACACAGAATGTGAAGGCTCAGAAATGAAGGTGGACTCCTGGTGGAGGTTCTTCTTCCACTGTTCTTATTGCCTGTGTCTTTGTGATGATGACAAGTCAGCCACCACTGATCGTTACATCAGCCTGATCCCAGCACTCAGTGATGTCAACAATAATAAGGTAAGATTCCTAAATTAAATTAAAATGTCAACCTTTTCTTTATCATCTGTTTCCCACTGATGGTTCAACAGTGTCTTGTAGTGAGGTTCTCACCACACAGTATAGTGCTCTTGTACTGAAGTTCTCACCACACAGTATGGGTTTAACAGTGTCTTGTAGTGAGGCTCTCACCTCACAGTATGGGTTTAACAGTGTCTTGTAGTGAGGTTCTCACCACACAGTATGGGTTTAACAGTGTCTTGTAGTGACTGGCCATGTAGTCAGAAACTGTAAGGCTGGAGATGATGTCCTGGTAGTCAGTAAATGGGCGGCTGATAGTGCTGTCCTGGGAGACAGTAATGGTGAAGCTGGAGGTGCTGTCCTGGGAGACAGTAATGGTGAAGCTGGAGATGCTGTCCTGGGAGACAGTAATGGGGAAGCTGGAGATGCTGTCCTGGGAGACAGTAATGGTGAAGCTGGAGATTTTGTTCCAGGTAGTCGGGGAAATTTTACGCAGGAAGAAAACATATAAAATGACCTCATAGGGACAGAAGCCATAGTAGGGAAACAAGTGTAGTCAAAGAAAAGATAAAACCAATATTTCAAACTAGAAATACCACAGGAAATAGCAAACAAGAGGAAACCACTAGCAATAGTGGAAAGGGTATAATTACCAAAAACAACTGGTGGGAGCTCCATTGTTGGTGCTAGGGAGGATAGAAGTAAGACAGGGAAACATGCACCAACAGGGAATACAGTCACAGAAACCCAAGGCAAACGGAAACCAAGCCTGTGTACATACTATGCACTCGGTATCTGCTGGCATGGAAATCTGGAAAAACAGATTGGGGCGTGCAACTATGACCACCCTAGAAAATGCCAGCACATATGACAAAAGGAAAATGCAAACTCCTTCCTGTAAGCTTTTTTCACCCTGAACTGTGTACCTCTTCCAGTACAGCAAAGACTGTGCTATAACTTAAATTGCCAGGCATACCACTAAAGGGAACAAAAGATACAAAACCTCCAGCCAGGGGAAAAACCTGGGTACCACACCACTCAAGAGGGAGAGGTATTTTTAGTGCCTGGGGAACCAGGAAGGAAAAAAAACTGGCAGGAAATGGCAGAAATCGTACCCAAAACCCATCCTTCATGAGTGTAACCACAGTCGATGGCTTCCACTCCAACAACAGATACAGATGACTAATGCCGGAAAAAAAATCCCCCCCCAGTACCAACAATATCCCACCAGTCGAAACATTCTTCTTTGCAAATATACAGGTCTAAAGGCAGCAACAACAACAAAATACCTTTCTTCATCCGTGGACTGCTTGCAGAGGCAAAGGGCAATGTTTCGCGGCTTTCACTGAGACCCACATAAAGATCACTTGGCCAACGAAATAATGGATCCCAGGTTACAAACCTATACAATGTGAACAGAGTGAACAGGCAAAAGGGGGGGGGGGTTGGCCTGTACATGCAGAGTCACGTGTTTTTGCACAGAACTGCAAATGCCTCAAATGATGTAGTGGAAGTTTTAAGCAGTAAAGGTCGAGAACCAAAACCTAGTCATTGTGGTAATCTACAAGCCCTCACGGATGCAACGATCCCAGCAATTCCGGAACAGCTGTTAAAAATTGACCACTGCTGTAAAACCTTCCGCTCCTGCACCCAACATCTTGCTCCTGGGGAGTTCAACTAAGGGCACCTAAAAAAATGAGGAATATAAGCAAATAATATTGTTGCAGTAATAACACCAGGAGGCAGCTCTGATGAAAACTCACACTCACGCGAGCTTTTAAAAATCTCTGCACAAAATTCAATTTAAACCAGCAAATAATAGAGCCTACTAGACTGGAGAATACACTAGACCTCATCTTCACTAACAATGATGATCTGATAAGAAATGTCACCATATCAAAAACAATATACTCAGATCACAACATAATTGAGGTTCAGTCATGTATGCGCGGAGCCCCAGACCGACATAATGAGATTAGTCACGAGGGAGCATTCTCCAAATTCAACTTCAATAACAAAAACATAAAGTGGGACCAAGTAAACCAAGTCCTAACCGATATAAGCTGGGAAGATATACTAAGCAACACAGACCCCAACTTATGCCTAGAACAGATTTAACTCGGTGGCACTCGATGTATGCACAAGGCTTATTCCTCTAAGAAAAAGGAGGAGTAGATGTAAAACAGAAAGAGACAGGCGCTCCTTTACAGGCGACGGAAAAGAATAACAGAGCGGCTAAAAGAGGTCAATATATCTGAAATGCGTAGGGAGACACTGGTCAGAGAAATAGCAAGCATCGAACTTAAGCTAAAAGAATCCTTTAGGAGTCAGGAATCGCGGGAAGAACAAAAAGCCATAAATGAAATCGAAAAAAAAACCCAAAGTATTTCTTGTCCTATGCCAAATCAAAATCGAGAACAACGTCCAGTATTGGGCCCCCTACTTAAACAAGATGGGTCCTACACAGATGACAGCAAGGAATGAGTGAGCTACTTAAGTCCCAATATGACTCAGTTTTTTAGCAAGCCGCTAACCAGACTGAGAGTCGAAGATCAAAATGAATTTTTTATGAAGAAGCCACAAAATTTGATTAACACAAGCCTATCCGATGTTATCCTGACGCCAAATGACTTCGAACAGGCGATAAATGCCCATGCACATGCACTCTGCCCCAGGGCCAGACTCATGGAACTCTGTGTTCATCAAGAACTGCAAGAAGCCCCTGTCACGAGCCTTTTCCATCCTATGGAGAGGGAGCATGGACACGGGGGTCGTCCCACAGTTACTAAAAACAACAGACATAGCCCCACTCCACAAAGGGGGCAGTAAAGCAACAGCAAAGAACTACAGACCAATAGCACTAACATCCCATATCATAAAAATCTTTGAAAGGGTCCTAAGAAGCAAGCTCACCACCCATCTAGAAACCCATCAGTTACACAACCCAGGGCAACATTGGTTTAGAACAGGTCACTCCTGTCTGTCTCAACTATTGGATCACTACGACAAGGTCCTAAATGCACTAGAAGACAAAAAGAATGCAGATGTAATATATACAGACTTTGCAAAAGCCTTCGACAAGTGTGACCATGGCGTAATAGCGCACAAAATGCATGCTAAAGGAATAACAGGAAAAGTCGTTCGATGGATCTATAATTTCCTCACTAACAGAACACAGAGAGTAGTCGTCAACAGAGTAAAGTCCGAGGCAGCTACGGTGAAAAGCTCTGTTCCACAAGGCACAGTACTAGCTCCCATCTTGTTCCTCATCCTCATATCCGACATAGACAAGGATGTCAGCCACAGCACCGTGTCTTCCTTTGCAGATGACACCCGAATCTCCATGACAGTGTCTTCCATTGCAGACACTGCAAAGCTCCAGGCGGACATCAACCAAATCTTTCAGTGGGCTGCAGAAAACAATATGAAGTTCAACGATGAGAAATTTCAATTACTCAGATATGGTAAACATGAGGAAATTAAATCTTCATCAGAGTACAAAACAAATTCTGGCCACAAAATAGAGCGAAACACCAACGTCAAAGACCTGGGAGTGATCATGTCGGAGGATCTCACCTTCAAGGACCATAACATTGTATCAATCGCATCTGCTAGAAAAATGACAGGATGGATAATGAGAACCTTCAAAACTAGGGAGGCCAAGCCCATGATGACACTCTTCAGGTCACTTGTTCTATCTAGGCTGGAATATTGCTGCACACTAACAGCACCTTTCAAGGCAGGTGAAATTGCCGACCTAGAAAATGTACAGAGAACTTTCACGGCGCACATAACGGAGATAAAACACGTCAATTATTGGGAGCGCTTGAGGTTCCTAAACCTGTATTCCCTGGAACGCAGGAGGGAGAGATACATGATTATATACACCTGGAAAATCCTAGAGGGACTAGTACCGAACTTGCACACGAAAATCACTCACTACGAAAGCAAAAGACTTGGCAGACGATGCACCATCCTCCCAATGAAAAGCAGGGGTGTCACTAGCACGTTAAGAGACCATACAATAAGTGTCAGGGGCCCGAGACTGTTCAACTGCCTCCCAGCACATAAGGGGGATTACCAACAGACCCCTGGCAGTCTTCAAGCTGGCACTGGACAAGCACCTAAAGTCAGTTCCGGATCAGCCGGGCTGTGGCTCGTACGTTGGTTTGCGTGCAGCCAGCAGCAACAGCCTGGTTGATCAGGCTCTGATCCACCAGGAGGCCTGGTCACAGACCGGGCCGCGGGGGCGTTGACCCCCGGAACTCTCTCCAGGTAAACTCCAGGTAAACACAGTATGGGTTTAACAGTGTCTTGTAGAGAGGTTCTCACCACACAGTATGGGTTTAACAGTGTCTTGTAGTGAGGTTCTCACCACACAGTATGGGTTTAACAGTGTCTTGTAGTGAGGTTCTCACCACACAGTATGGGTTTAACAGTGTCTTGTAGTGAGGTTCTCACCACACAGTATGGGTTTAACAGTGTCTTGTAGTGAGGTTCTCACCACACAGTATGGGTTTAACAGTGTCTTGTAGTGAGGTTCTCACCACACAGTATGGGTTTAACAGTGTCTTGTAGTGAGGTTCTCACCACACAGTATGGGTTTAACAGTGTCTTGTAGTGAGGTTCTCATCACACAGTATGGGTTTAACAGTGTCTTGTAGTGAGGTTCTCACCACTCAGTATGGGTTTAACAGTGTCTTGTAGTGAGGTTGTCACCACACAGTATGGGTTTAACAGTGTCTTGTAGTGAGGTTCTCACCACACAGTATGGGTTTAACAGTGTCTTGTAGTGAGGTTCTCACCACACAGTATGGGTTTAACAGTGTCTTGTAGTGAGGTTGTCACCACACAATATGGGTTTAACAGTGTCTTGTAGTGAGGTTGTCACCACACAGTATGGGTTTAACAGTGTCTTGTAGTGAGGTTCTCACCACACAGTATGGGTTTAACAGTGTCTTGTAGTGAGGTTCTCACCACACAGTATGGGTTTAACAGTGTCTTGTAGTGAGGTTCTCACCACACAGTATGGGTTTAACAGTGTCTTGTAGTGAGGTTCTCACCACACAGTATGGGTTTAACAGTGTCTCGTAGTGAGGTTCTCACCACACAGTATGGGTTTAACAGTGTCTTGTAGTGAGGTTCTCACCACACAGTATGGGTTTAACAGTGTCTCGTAGTGAGGTTCTCACCACACAGTATAAAACACCACGTCTTAGCTCACACAATTACTAATAATTATTATCTTCATCAACAGTATTAAACAGTATTATTAATATTGTAGAGGAAATTCTGTCAATAACTACGGACTTTTGCAACCTGGTGATGTTTTATCGCCAATACATCTTCACAGTGTTTGACTGGATTGAGTTACAGCTCCTGGACCTCTGCAAGATGTTATCCTCAGCTGTTGAGCGTGTTGAGTGTTTATCCTCAGCTGATCTGAGGTTATTAACCTACAGTTTCTAGAATATTTAAAAGAATTATTAAATATATGTTAAACAATATTGACAACTTGATGACTAAGACACCTGTGCAACAACTGTGCAACACCTGTGCAACACATGTGAAACACCTGACTGTTTTGATACATTTAGCGTACACTGGCCTTCTTAAGTCAAATATAGAGGTGATTAAATATGGAGACAGCAAGATCAACGACGAGGTAAACATGATGATATCAGTACATCAACTTTCTGCTATTGCTGTTGCGCACATTGAGGTACAGAGCGTGCATTGAGGCATAGAACGTGCATTGAGGTACAGAACGTGCATTGAGGCATAGAACGTGCATTGAGGTACAGAGCGTGCATTGAGGCATAGAACGTGCATTGAGGCATAGAACGTGCATTGAGGCATAGAACGTTCATTGTGGCATAGAACGTGCATTGAGGCACAGAACGTGCATTGAGGTACAGAGCGTGCATTGAGGCACAGAACGTGCATTGAGGCATAGAACGTGCATTGAGGCATAGAACGTGCATTGAGGCACAGAGCGTGCATTGAGGTACAGAACGTGCATTGAGGCATAGAACGTGCATTGAGGCATAGAACGTGCATTGAGGCATAGAACGTGCATTGAGGCATAGAACGTGCATTGAGGCACAGAGCGTGCATTGAGGTACAGAGCGTGCATTGAGGCACAGAACGTGCATTGAGGTACAGAGCGTGCATTGAGGCACAGAACGTGCATTGAGGCATAGAACGTGCATTGAGGCATAGAACGTGCATTGAGGCACAGAGCGTGCATTGAGGTACAGAACGTGCATTGAGGCATAGAACGTGCATTGAGGCACAGAACGTGCATTGAGGCATAAAACGTGCATTGAGGCACAGAACGTGCATTGAGGCATAGAACGTGCATTGAGGCATAGAACGTGTATTGAGGCATAGAACGTGTATTGAGGCACAGAGCGTGCATTGAGGCACAGAGCGTGCATTGAGGCACAGAGCGTGCATTGAGGCACAGAACGTGCATTGAGGCACAGAGCGTGCATTGAGGCATAGAACGTGCGTTGAGGCATAGAACGTGCATTGAGGCATAGAACGTGCATTGAGGCATAGAACGTGCATTGAGGCATAGAACGTGCATTGAGGCATAGAACGTGCATTGAGGCACAGAACGTGCATTGAGGCATAGAACGTGCATTGAGGCATAGAACGTGCATTGAGGCATAGAACGTGCATTGAAGCACAGAACGTGCATTGAGGCATAGAACGTGCATTGAGGCACAGAGCGTGCATTGAGGCATAGAACGTGCATTGAGGCATAGAACGTGCATTGAGGCATAGAACGTGCATTGAAGCACAGAACGTGCATTGAGGCATAGAACGTGCATTGAAGCACAGAACGTGCATTGAGGCATAGAACGTGCATTGAGGCACAGAGCGTGCATTGAGGCACAGAACGTGCATTGAGGCATAGAAAGTGCATTGAGACATAGAACGTGCATTGAGGCATAGAACGTGCATTGAAGCACAGAACGTGCATTGAGGCATAGAACGTGCATTGAGGCACAGAGCGTGCATTGAGGCACAGAACGTGCATTGAGGCATAGAAAGTGCATTGAGACATAGAACGTGCAGTGAGACACAGAGCGTGCATTGAGGCATAGAACGTGCATTGAGGCACAGAGCGTGCATTGAGGCATAGAACGTGCATTGAGGCATAGAACGTGCATTGAGGCACAGAAAGTGCATTGAGGCATAGAAAGTGCATTGAGGCATAGAACGTGCATTGAGGCACAGAACGTGCATTGAGGCATATAACGTGCATTGAGGCATAGAACGTGCATTGAGGCACAGAACGTGCATTGAGGCACAGAACGTGCATTGAGGCATAGAACGCGCATTGAGGAATAGAACGTGCATTGAGGCACAGAACACGCATTGAGGCATAGAACGTGCATTGAGGCACAGAACGTGCATTGAGGCACAGAACGTGCATTGAGGCATAGAACGTGCATTGAGGCACAGAACGTGCATTGAGGCATAGAACGTGCATTGAGGCACAGAACGTGCATTGAGGCATAGAACGTGCATTGACGCACAGAACGTGCATTGAGGCATAGAACGTGCATTGAGGCACAGAACGCGCATTGAGGCACAGAGCGTGCATTGAGGCACAGAACGTGCATTGAGGCACAGAACGTGCATTGAGGCACAGAACGTGCATTGAAGCACAAAGCGTGCATTGAGGCACAGAACGTGCATTGAGGCACAGAACGTGCATTGAGGCACAGAACGTGCATTGAGGCACAGAGCGTGCATTGAGGCACAGAACGTGCACTGAGGCACAGAACGTGCATTGAGGCACAGAGCGTGCGGTGAGGCACAGAGTGTGCATTGAAGCACAGAGCGTGCATTGAGGCACAGAACGTGCATTGAGGCACAGAACGTGCATTGAGGCACAGAACGCGCATTGAGGCACAAAGCGTGCATTGAGGCACAGAACGTGCATTGAGGTACAGAACGTGCATTGAGGCACAGAACGTGCATTGAGGCACAGAACGTGCACTGAGGCACAGAACGTGCATTGAGGTACAGAACGTGCATTGAGGCACAGAACGCGCATTGAGGCACAGAATGTGCATTGAGGCACAGAGCGTGCACTGAGGCACAGAACGCGCATTGAGTCACAGAACGTGCATTGAGGTACAGAATGTGCGTTGAGACCCAGAACGTGCATTGAGGCACAGAAAGTGCATTGATCCACAGAACGTGCATTGAGGCACAGAGCGTGCACTGAGGCACAGAGCGTGCACTGAGGCACAGAACGTGCATTGAGGCACAGAGCGTGCACTGAGGCACAGAGCGTGCATTGAGGCACAGAGCGTGCATTGAGGCAAAGTGCGTGCATTGAGGCACAGAGCGGGCATTGAGGCACAGAACGTGCACCGAGGCGCAGAGCGTGCATTGCGGCACAGAGCGTGCATTGAGGCACAGAGCGTGCACTGAGGCACAGAGCGTGCATTGAGGCACAGAGCGTGCACTGAGGCACAGAACGTGCATTGAGGCACAGAGCGTGCACTGAGGCACAGAGCGTGCATTGAGGCACAGAGCGTGCATTGAGGCACAGAGCGTGCATTGAGGCACAGAGCGTGCATTGAGGCAAAGAGCGTGCATTGAGGCACAGAGCGTGCACTGAAGCACAGAGCGTGCATTGAGGCACAGAGCGTGCATTGAGGCACAGAGCGTGCACTGAGGCACAGAGCGTGCATTGAGGCACAGAGCGTGCATTGAGGCAAAGAGCGTGCATTGAGTCACAGAGCGGGCATTGAGGCACAGAACGTGCACCGAGGCACAGAGCGTGCATTGCGGCACAGAGCGTGCATTGAGGCAAAGAGCGTGCATTGAGGCACAGAGCGTGCATTAAGGAACAGAGCGTGCATTGAGGCACAGATCGCTGCGCTGCAGTTACACAGTCAGGGGCTTCCTTTCTCGGATATCGATGCCACTGCAATACATGTAGTGTGTTGTGTAACCCCTGGAGGCAGTACATGAAGCCCTGGTGGAGAAGCCTCTGGAGGCGGCACATGAGGACCTGGCGGAGAAGCCTCTGGAGGCGGCACATGAGGACCTGGCGGAGAAGCCTCTGGAGGCAGCACATGAAGCTCTGGAGAAGAAGCCTCTGGAGGCAGTACATGAAGCTCTGGTGGAGAAGCCTTAAAGTACATATATGTAAACATATTTTTGAGTATGAATGCACACAGATTCCGCAGGTTAGGTAAAGTTTGTCAGGAAACAGACACGTGTTTTTTGAGGCTGGTCTTAGTCATATGATGACCAGCTGCTGGAACTTTTGGTCATCTGACCGAGACCTTCTGCTGGCTTACCGCATCGTAAGGGTTCTTAAATGGAGATATCGTAGGTTGAAGGTAGACACACTTGTGGGATGGTAACTATATTGTCAGTCTGAGATGGTGAGGGATGGAGCCCAGCTGCCTTGCCTGTCTGCTGAATGGTCTGCCGCCGAGTGAGAGCGGGGCAGAGATATGAGCCTACACATGTGCATCCCGTGACGTCACACAAAGCCACAGGCCTACAAGGGATCTCGTATCTAAAGCAGATGGATGATACTAATATGCTATACTATATAATACAGGGAATACAGGGATCAGCAACTATGCTGACACTGGCTTACCGGTCCACCTCTTGAAAAAATTATGGTTACAGATTCCACACCGATGACAATTTTTCCTGTTTGTGTTTCATGATTTTTTGCATTTATTACAGGTTGTGACAGGTATTCAGGTCATCAAGTTGAGAGGAGTGATTCATCTACAGGTACAACACGGTCAGACTCTGCCCCAGGGACACGTCAACACTTCTACACTACAGTGGGTTCAGGTGGAGCCTCTCACTATTAACAGGTACAACACAGGTCCAGGTGTAGCCTCTCATTATTAACAGGTACAACACAGGTCCAGGTGTAGTCTCTCACTATTAACAGGTACAACACAGGTCCAGGTGTAGCCTCTCACTATTAACAGGTACAACACAGGTCCAGGTGTAGCCTCTCACTATTAACAGGTACAACACAGGTCCAGGTGTAGCCTCTCACTATTAACAAGTACAGCACAGGTCCAGGTGTAGCCTCTCACTATTAACAGGTACAACACAGGTCCAGGTGTAGCCTCTCACTATTAACAGGTACAGCACAGGTCCAGGTGTAGCCTCTCACTATTAACAGGTACAACACAGGTCCAGGTGTAGCCTCTCACTATTAACAGGTACAACACAGGTCCAGGTGTAGCCTCTCACTATTAACAGGTACAACACAGGTCCAGGTGTAGCCTCTCACTATTAACAGGTACAACACAGGTCCAGGTGTAGCCTCTCACTATTAACAGGTACAGCACAGGTCCAGGTGTAGCCTCTCACTATTAACAGGTACAACACAGGTCCAGGTGTAGCCTCTCACTATTAACAGGTACAACACAGGTCCAGGTGTAGCCTCTCACTATTAACAGGTACAGCACAGGTCCAGGTGTAGCCTCTCACTATTAACAGGTACAGCACAGGTCCAGGTGTAGCCTCTCACTATTAACAGGTAAACTTAGAACAAGTCCACCACTGACCACTTGTCCATATTGAACTTCCTCTGCCACTCTTCAGACCAAGACATTAATTTGTCCAAATCCTCCTGAAGTTCACTGGTATCCTCCTCAGAATGAATCACACGGCCTATTTTTGTATCATCAGCAAATGTTATCATGTCACTTGTAATTCCTTCATCAAGGTCATTAATGTAAATTATGAACAACACTGGGCCTAAAACTGATCCTTGTGGAATGCCACTAGTGACTAATCCCCATTCAGATTTGACCCCATTAATGGAAACTCTGCTTTCTATTGGTAAGCCATGCCTTTATCCATGCTAGAACTTTACCTCCTATACCATGAGCTGCCACTTTTCTTAGGAGTCTCTTGTGAGGTACTCTATCAAAGGCTTTACTAAAATCCAAATAAACAATATCATATTCTTTATCACTATCTACTACCTCAAATGTTTTATTGAAGAACGTCAGTAAATTTGTCAAGCAGGAACGACCTCTCGTGAAACTATGCTGAGATTCAGGCCTCATTTAGTTTATGCTGCACAGTTCTGATCACCGTATTACAAAATGGACATAAATGCACTGGAAAACGTACAAAGGAGGATGACAAAGTTGATCCCATGTATCAGAAATCTTCCCTGTAAGGATAGACTGAGGGTACTGAATCTGCACTCTCTAGAAAGGCGTATAATTAGGGGAGATAAGATAAGATAAGATAAGATAAGATAAGATTTTGTTCGGATTTTTAACCCCGGAGGGTTAGCCACCCAGGATAACCCAAGAAAGTCAGTGCGTCATCGAGGACTGTCTAACTTATTTCCATTGGGGTCCTTAATCTTGTCCCCCAGGATGCGACCCACACCAGTCGACTAACACCCAGGTACCTATTTGCTGCTAGGTGAACAGGACAATAGGTGTAAGGAAACGTGTCGGAATTTCCACCCGCCGGGAATCGAACCCGGGCCCTCCGTGTGTGAAGCGGGAGCTTTAGCCACCAGACCACCGTATAAGTGTATAAGGTGTATAAGTGGAAAACAGGAATAAATAAAGGGGATGTAAATAGCGTGTTGAAAATATCTAGCCAAAACTGCACTCGCAACAGTGGTTTTAAATTGGAAAAATTCAGATTCAGGAAAGATATAGGAAAGCACTGGTTTGGTAATAGAGTTGTGGATGAGTGGAACAAACTCCCGAGTACCGTCATAGAAGCTACGACGTTGTGTAGTTTTAAAAATAGGTTGGATAAATACATGAGTAGATGTGGGTGGGTGTGAGTTGGACCTGACTAGCTTGTGCTACTAGGTCAGATGCCTTGCTCCTTCCTTAAGTGAATGTGACCTGACCTGACTGAGCTGCTTTGGGGATTAGCGTGGACGGTTACAAAGCATGGCTTGCTTCTGCAGTGTTTTAAAAATTGAGGTTGGAGAGTTGAAGGAGGAGGTCTTGCTTCTCCAGGAGGAGATTAGGAGGCTGAAGGTCCACCTCAATGGGTCTGGGAGAGAGTGTGAGGTGGCTGGAGTTGTGGGGAATGAGGCTTCTAGCAGTGAGGTGCAGTCTGTCTCTCGCTGTGAGGAGGCTGTAGGTGGGGAGGTAGCAACGGCTACCAGCAGTGAGGTGCAGTCCAGCACCTGCTACAAGTGGCGAGTGGTAACCAGTAATGGGAGGAGAATCAGAATAAGAAAAGTTAAGAGTGAAAATCTGAAGGTAGGAAATCGCTTCTCTGTTCTTCAGGATGAATGTACTTCAGTGACCAGTGAAGGTAAGGGTACTACTGCCCCTGCTAACAGAGGTAAGCGCATTCTTGTGGTTGGTGACTCTCAGGTAAGATATACTGACCGTGCTTTTTGTAATAGGAATAAGAAGATGAGAGATAGAGTGTGCTTCCCTGGAGCTGGTGTTGGGGACATAGTTAACAGGCTGGGTAATATCATGTCAGGTAATGGGAACAAGCCCATTATTTGTCTCAGTGCTGGTGGAAATGATATTGGGAAGGGTAGGAGAGAAGAGCTGCTAGGTAAGTACAGGTCAGCTATAGATTTCATTAAGTCTAAGGGAGGGGTCCCAATCATATGTAGCATCTTGCCTAGAAGGGGAGTAGGAAATGAATGGTTGTCTTGGGCAATTGGTGTAAAATGCTGGCTAGACAGATACTGCAAGGAACTTGCAATCCCATTCATTGACAACTGGAACAACTTTTATGGCAAACATGATATGTATGCAAGGGATGGGGTACATCTCTCTGGGGCTGGGGTGGTAGCACTTGTAAACTCAATTGAGAAGGCCATTGGTGAAATGCCTATGATTTTAAACTGATAGAAGATAGAGGTATGGGTGCGTGTGGGAAACAAGCAGGTTGCAACACTAGGGTTGGAATCAGTAAATGTATAAAAGGCATTCAGCATGAAGTTATAAATAAAGACAATAGATCAGGTCAGCAAACAAAGGGGGACAGCAGAGGACAGCAAGGGACTAGCTCCCTTAAGGTTTACTATACTAATATCAGGAGTGTAAGAAATAAGATAGATGAGCTAAGATTAATTGCAAGTGCAGGAAACAGATATTATTGCTATAACAGAGACCTGGCTCAATCTGAAAGATAGAGAGCTGCCCTCTGAATGTCACATACAAGTCTATAAATTATTCCACACTGACAGGGTCAACAGGAAGGGTGGTGGAGTAGCGATGTATGTCAGAGACAATTTAAATTGTTGTGTTAGACAAGATATAAAAGTAGAAGCGTCAGCCACTGAATCTGTTTGGTTACAGCTTCTCGAGGGTCGAGAAAAACTAATTTTGGGTGTGATTTACAGGGCCCCAAATCTTGATAGGGAGTGCAGTAAACTTCTATGGGGCGAAATTCGTAAGGCATCTACATACGAAAATGTTGTGCTAATGGGAGATTTCAACTATAGACAGATTGACTGGAGCAATTTGACAGGAAATTTAGAGTCAGGTAACTTTCTTCATACGATCCAGGATTGTTTTTTAAAACAGTTTGTGACAGAGCCAACTAGAGGAAATAACCTCCTTGACATGGTTCTTGCCAGTAGGGAAACACTAATTAATAATCTTGAGGTTAATGATGATCTTGGGGAAAGTGATCACAAATCACTCAGTTTTAATATATCATGGAATTCCCCTAATAATGGCAATCAAGTCTCCGTCCCTGACTTTCGCTTGGCTGATTTCATAGGACTGAAAAATTACTTAGGTGGGCTGAACTGGAATGACCTGACTAAGGGTCAGGTATGTGGTGATGATTGCCGATATGATGCTTTCCAGGGCATAGTTCTAGCTGCTCAGTCAAATTATGTTCCAAATAGGGAAATCAGATCAAACAAAAATGATCCTAAATGGATGAACAATAGATTAAAATATCTGATTGGTCAAAAGAGAGGCATATATAGGCAAATCAAAAGAGGAGAGGGGCAATTAAGAAATCGATATATTCAGTTAAAGAGAGAAATAAAAATGGGAATTAGAAAAGCAAAAAGAGATTATGAGGTTAAAGTTGCAAGAGAATCGAAGACTAACCCAAAAGGATTCTTTCAGGTATACAGAAGTAAGATCAGGGACAAGATTGGCCCACTCAAAAGTTCCTCGGGTCAGCTCACTGACAGTGATAAGGAAATGTGTAGAATTTTTAACACACACTTCCTCTCAGTTTTTACACATGAGGATACCAGCGATATTCCAGTAATGATAAATTATGTAGAACATGACGATAATAAACTGTGCACGATTAGGGTCACAAGTGACATGGTCCTTAGGCAAATAGATAAATTAAAACCTAACAAATCCCCAGGCCCTGATGAACTGTATGCAAGGGTTCTAAAGGAATGTAAAGAGGAGCTTAGCAAACCTTTGGCTAATCTTTTCAACATATCACTACAAACTGGCATGGTGCCAGATAAGTG